TCTTACCTGTGTGTGTGTGTGTGTGTGTGTGTGTGTGTGTGTGCATTTCGTCTTTCCTCCCTCCAGTATTGGCAGCTGCTGTCACCCAAGCTTCCTTGCGGTCTGTGCTTCATAAGCTCCTCGCTGCTGGACCTGCTTTCAACGTCACTGCTCTGCTCTCAGCTGCTCAGCACTCCAACCAAGGTATGGCCTCCTTGCTGTTGATTACCGTCTGGTGCACAAACTAATTTCCTTTTTTATTTAAATCTATTATATCTATGTTGACCTTTTTATATTCAGTGCATGTTGTGTGAATTAACCGTGTTTACTTAAGGGGTTTTCAGTTTGACTGTAGTTATGTGGAAAAATAAAACATGGCTCGTATTCCAGTGAACCTTTTCATTGCCAGAATGGAGGAGGTGCTGAATAGAAATAGTGAAGGGTGTGCTTTAAAAACCCTGGCTTAAGTCAAGCTTTAGCCAGATTGTAGTGATGGAAATTCTGTTATTAAAATACTGAAATTATGCCGTCATCTTTTCTTTGTCTTTTTCAGCTCAGCACACCAATCAGTCCCCAGTCTCTCTGACCACAGATGCATCATCGCCACGGCCATATGTTTCTCCACGGAACGGCACGCCACAGAGCAGCCAGAAATCACTTCCGATAGCACATCCTGGCAGCATCACCTCCACACAAACAAGGGTGAGACCAGTACTAAAAGGGACGAATGGAAGGAATCCTTCTCCTTGCTCACGATTCACCCCCTCTTGCTCCCTTGTCTGAAATATTGTTCTGGATCTTGACTACATGCCCATGATGCTTTGTTGAAATTCCCCACATTTTCTCTCATGCTGTCTTCTCTCTGCAGGGCAGTATGTCTTCAGGTAAGCAAGGATCAGTCTCTCTGCCTCAGAGTGCAGAGAAGCGTCCAGAAGACCCCAGAACACTCCAGCAACGAAGGTAGTTCAAGTTCAGAATTACTTCAGCACATTTCTTTTGCAATAATAGATTACTTGGAGATGTGATGCAAATAGAATACAGGAATTTTTTATAACTAAAAGGCTGGTAATACAAAATAGAAACATCACTAGCTAAACTATTCTAGGGGCACCATGGTGGCGAAGTGGTTAGCACTGTTGCCTCACAGCAAGAAGGTCTTGGGTTCAGGGCCTTTCTGTGCGGAGTTTGCATGTTCTCCCTGTGCTTGCATGGATTTTCTGCGGGTACTCAGGCTTCCTCCCACAGATAAAAGATATGCAGCTTAGGTTGATTGGCGACTCTAAATCGCCCGCATTAGTGTGTGTGTGTGTGTGTGTGTGTACACAGGGTTATTCAAAAAGAATGAACCGATTTATTATGCAATATTTTATTAAGGAAAAGTAATACAAAACTCCAGCCAAGTCACAAGTATTCTACTCACAATCAACTTTTATAATGGTCTTTTTCAAATGGTCACTGACTCATTCCATGACGATGCTTGAGAACTGAAGCAATGCGTAATGAAATCGGTTTGTTCTTTTTGAATAACCCTATCCATCTTATCTATCCATCCATCCATCTGGGTTGTGTCAGGAAGGGCATCCGGCATAAAACACATGCCAAATGTATACATGCAAACATTCATTCGCTGTGGTGACCCCTAACGGGAACAGCCGACCATAGTAGTAGACTAGCTAAGCTATTCTCATTTTATAAATTGTAAAGAATAGTTTAGGTTGAATGAAGTTTTGGTATGCATCATGTTTTTACAATCTGTACACAGCGTGGTGGTCTGTTCTCTCTGTGGAACTTTGCACAACCCAACCTTTTCACAGAGGTAAACATGACGGCCTCCCTCTTTGTCGTCTTTAGCTGCTGTGCTCGGCATTACTCAAGCTTATTGACTGGCAAAGCTCATGTGATGGCATCTCAAAGGAAACAGGAGTAGCTTATGTTACTATTGAGACTCCAGAGAGCTGCTGGCATTTGAGTGACAGAGGGGAAAGCACTAATCTCTGTTTTGCAATTTAGGCATTTTTCAGATTTTCACAAAACAAACATTCAGATTAATATGATATATTGCCCAGCTCTAGTACAGACTAAGCCCTGACTGTTCTATAACATGAATATTCCTGCATTAACTGCAATTGGATTTGTTCACCACGCACACACACAGTTGACCACTTGTCTCGCTCCATCAGCCAGGAGATTCTGTCCACAGGATCAGACTCGTCCAGTGCCACGTTGTCCCATGTCTCCTCGGGCAGCGCCAACCAAACCCAGGCTGACACTCCCGGCTCCTTCACTCCCACTCTGGCAGCTCATTTTGATGAGAGCCTCATCAGACATATCCAAGGATGGCCTTCAGAGAACACTGAGAAGCAGGTACGCTGCAGATAGCACATAAAACACTTCTTGCTATGTTTATTACATGCTCATATAGCTGTAGCCTTAAGTGGAGAGGGTTGTTAGGGACTCCTAAACTCAAAAGCATATTTTATTTATGTTTATATGCCTTAAAATATAAGGCTTCTACTGTACCAACTGGTGTACGTGCACAGTTTCTCACTAAGGGTGTTTTCATATTATTCCCCTGAAAGGCGCTGTGTCAGTCCAGTTCCTAGAAATCCTGATTTCAAACGTTCATAGGAAAACCAAATTTGTGCCGACAAAAATCTGAAAGCCAAACACAGCTCACTGTACAAATACAGAGTTGGAAAGTGCCTGTTGAAATTGGTGTTAACTTAAGATAAGTTTGGCTCACCGCTAAAGCTAACAGTTAACCTCGCGATTAATTTAGCCTCGAGCAAACAAAGAGATACTGACATACAATTAAATGTTACAAGACGGTACGAGGCATTTAAAGCTGCTGAGTATTAACGGCAAAACATAGATGACAGGGAAGGCTAGTCTTGGCTCACTGTTGAACCAAGTGCTGCTTCTGTGGTAACTGCTAACATCAGATTAACGCTACATTTTGGATCAGCTTTGATAATAAAGAGATGCTGACATATTGTTTAATGTTATGAGATGGTAAGAGACATGTACTAGATGTGTAGAGAAGTACCGTTGTTGGAATGCAATATTAACAGTTACGTTCATCTGCTGCTAATACAGTAAGGCAAGCTATTGGATCTCTGTTAATTTTAGATTGTGAGAAAATAAAAAGATAATGATATACTGTCAAAAGGTTATGGGATGGTGGTTGACACATTGGAGTATCAAGTGCAAATGAAAACACTACGTTTGGCTCACTAACATGCGTCCAGATGCACCGAGTTCACCGGTCCATGTGGGGGGTGTTGTTATGGGTATATTTGCATTTATTTGAATATTAATTTGGCCTGGAATGCACAATGAGGGACAAATGTTGAGGCCTATTACAGAGGTTCACCGAACTTTTTTGAGAACAAAAATGTTAGACTATATATTGTTTATAGCAGAGTTTTTATATGCAAATAGAAATATTAAAATGTCTCTGGAGTGGAACTTTAACAGCATTTCTTTTGGGACTTCAGTTCAGACTCGGCATTATTGTCTCTTGTGGTAAAAAATGGAACTGTAATTTTTTTTTTTAGATCAAAAATCTAAATTGAAAGCTTCAAACCAAGTCCATCTACAAAGAAGCGACATGGGTTGTCGTAGAAAGCTTCAATTTTCAAGGGCGAAAATGAACCTTCATATAAACTTACGAGTTTTAAATAAAACAATCACAAAATGAGCTAATGTCACTTCTGGTGTTTGAAGTATGTTGAATGTTTGTTTGTGTAAACCTGTAGTCAGAACTTGACAAAATGCACCCATATATTTCCATCAGGCAGCACGGTTGCATGAGGACATCCACAACATGGGCAGCTTGTATATGTCTGAGATCTGCACAGAGATGAAAAACCTCCGCTCCCTGGTCAGAGTGTGCGAAATCCAGGCCACACTGAGGGAACAGAGGTGAGGCAGATGTGCAATACGCATGAACATGTGCACCAGCTAATAATACTACACACTCATTCATTCTTAATTCTTAACAGAATCCTGTTTCTGAGGCAGCAGAACAAAGAGCTGGACAAACTGAAGAACCAGAACTCCTACATGGTGTGAGGGGGGCGTGAGAAGAAGGGACTTGGGCAGGAGCATTAACATAATGATAGAAACAAAGGAATAGATATGGACAGCAAGCTTCTCCAGCCTGTTTGTTCTCCTGTAGGAGCAGCTGAGAAATGCTGTTAGACGACAGCAGCTGACAAAGTGAAGCTCCAAACAGAACGTCTTTATTTTTTTTATTTTTAAATAAAGTTTTTCCAGTGTCCTCCACATCACTTGCTCTTGCTGAAAGGTGAAACTGACCGTTCACAGTCGGACACTTTAACAGAGTGAACATAAAGGGCCTGGGCTCTTTTCAAACAGCACCTTTTTTTTTTTGGACTGTGAACCTTGGATTGTGTATTGCTTTGGATTAACTTGTTTTCTGGTGTGTTTTGATGTGTAGTGATGAGGAAAAGAGTCATTCTTGGAAACCATCTCGTAATAATCAGTGTGACAGTTCTGGGGGGTGGGAGGGTTAACAAATTGTTTGCTCCCCAGACTTCTGAAACGGTCTTCGTCATGCATTGAACTGTATGGATCCAATGGCAGTGATCTTATTTTTTCTTTACTACTCAGTGGTTTTGAGGCTGGTTGCTTTTACATGTCATGACAGGAGACTGAGTGAAGAACTACACCTTTTTAGTTAAATGTGCTTCAGTTGTTTTGTCCCAGCAGTAGTAATTCACTGGGAAGTAATGGCTAGTTGTGTCAAACGCACTCTAAATGTTTCAAAGCCATTTTGAAAGCGTTTGCATTATTGGACCTAGGTTGGCTGCTAGTCCATGTGAGGTTGTATTCGTAGTCCCGCTGGCCGTTTTCTCGTCCCTTCTGCTCTGTTGTTTTACGTATAATTGTCAGCATTTTTTTCTCTCCCAAGTCTAATTTGGGAAATATTTCATTCCTTTTGTGCAGCATAGCACGAGACTGTGTAAAAGAATAGAAAGCTAAATTATTGTTGCACATGATTAATTGCATCCTTGTAGTAGTACTGAAAAAGAGCTTTATTTTATTTTTTCAACAAGGAAACTGTTTTCTGTTCAGCTGTCGTGGCTGCAGCCTTTTTCTCAATGTACTAGCCAGGGCTTGCTTTTTTTTTTTAAGGGTTCCTTCATGATGAGAGGCTATACTTTTTATATCAGCATCACATTAAACTGCAGCCACACACTTTGATATTCATAATGCCAGTTTCATTCTGTCTTTTTTTTTTTTCTTGCCTTGTTCATAACTAGTTTCCACCAGATCTAATGCGCACACTCTTTGGGGGATGGGGGTTAGGGTTGGCGGGTTGGCAGGGGTGTGGTTTGTATTCCTTAAAATATTAGAATAAAATATTATACCACACTTTCCGTTACTGTCTCTTACACCACAGTGGTTTCACACTTTAAAGTTGTGTGTGTGTGTGTGTGTGTGTGTGAGTGGACTTTCACAAGTGAATTTCCTGATCAATTATGCCTTTTGTAATTTTTCTAAATTAAAATGTGCAATTATGCACCTGGAGCAGGGTTGGGGTGAGAGCTTTGGGAAATTTATGTGCAGTGGGTGGTCTCAAACTATACACTTTTCCTTGTTAGGTGTAGGTGTCCCCACCACCCTCGTGCTTTGAGGCCTATACAATTGTGATAACTATGAAGATTACTGAGGCTATAGATTACCTGATGACGTGAAATTTCTTCTGTGGCCAATTGTGAGCAATCTTGCAATGAATCTGGTTCAGCTAATGTGCGCATTTTTGCGGTTTTATCAGGTTTTTGAAAAATCTTATTACTGCAATTCATGTGAAATTGTAGCCAAAGCAGAAGGCTGCATAAAATCAGTGATGTTAATGTGTTACAACTCTGGGCCAACTCTGAGGCAATACAGCAGCTACAGATGAAAGATGGTAATAACAATGAGCTGGTGGTTGATGAGACAAAAAAGCACGATTGAAAACCGTAGAAAATTGCCTGTTCAAATGGACTTTCACAATGTTGTAGGACAACACCGACCTTTTAGTCAGAAGCCCTCAGCAGGTTTTCCTGCATGCACAGCTCCACGGTGAGCTAGAGCCTTCTGCTTTGCCCCCTCTCAGAATGTGGGGTAATACACACGCTTGAGAGGAGTGATACATAGACCACCATTCTAGATAGCTCACTTTTTTCAGTCAGGTGCAACTGTTTTACTAATGGTTATATGCTTTCATTAAACATAAGAGACAGAACACTGAGTGACAGTAGTAATTGGAGTGCAGCCCAACGCATACTGGATTTGTAATAACCTAAATGTTAAGGTTAAAAAAAAACTAACAACTGATGATAGTGTATATTGGATAATATATAAAAAAACTGATGAAGATACCGAAGGGGCATTTACACTTCATAAAGTCTGAGTGCTCCCTAGATAAAGTACATGGCCTGGTCAGACAAAGCGTTTAAAATGTCAACATTTTGTGGCAAAATCAATTCTTCACAGTGAAATTTGTGTGCTTTGTGGATTTGGAAGCCTGGAGAAAACATTCTGTGCCAATTGTTTACATCAAATTCAGCTTTGGTTACTTACTATAACTGGGCGCTCTTGAAGAAAACAGCCAGAGATCCTACAATGGTAGAAGCACTCCGAGGGTGAAAGATGTGCGTCTGCACACGCACTGGCATGTGAATGTTCAGATAATGTAAACAAAGTCAGTTAAAGGGATAAATAGGTGCTAGCTTTAAGGTTATCTTGATTATACTTCCGCATTGGTAATGGCTACATTTGCGCCACCTGCTGAGCGCGTGCCCTAAATCAAAACACCCGCCCACCATCATTCGTTTATGTCCATAATGCTGCAGCCAGCGAAAGGAGAAACGAAAGTTTTAAAACCGAAGAAATTGGTTTTATTTGGTTGGTTTTGTACAGCTGTCATAAAGCGAGGGCGGAGATGAGTTAAGGTTAGCTGCTAAAGAGGACGCCAGGCTCAGTGACAACGCGTTTGTCACCACCGGGCCCTGATTAAATTGGACTGGCGATTTAAAAAATACAGAAACACAGTTTTGCGCGCGCGTTTACATTTATCAGCGTTCAACGTGTTTAGAAGGGCTGTGTTTATTATGCTTGTAGGCTACACCTACATGTATGTGTAGGATAATAGACGCCACGGCTGCGCTATACAGTTTGCTGTTGGTTTATATATGGTCATATTCCCTGTGGTGTCCAAACGAAAGACTTCATGATGGTCATTTCTGTTCGTGTGAGTATTGTACTGATGGATTCTAAGGAGGGTATACCCCATTAGCCCATGTATAGTGGTAGTCTGTTGTTTGCACAGGGGATTTAAACGGAGGTTTACGCCTCCATATCCAATAAAGAAACACCTTTGTATACTGTAACTCTGTACCTGTCAGTGTTGGACCTATGAAACCGGAGCCAGTGGTTCTTTTAACATGTGGTTAAACTGTGACATGTGTCTTCAGATATTTTCCATTTCCATTTATTACAATTTATTCATAGCATGACAAAGCCATAGACCCTTTTTAGCTGAGTCAGCAGCTACTGTTGCTGCCTAATTTGTCCTGATGTCTTACAGAATCAGAGGGAGTATGCCAGAGATTGCTCTCATTAAAAATCAGTCTGCAATAGTCCACACTTTCTCTTAACAGCTGCATTACTAGCAAAATAGTAACCTTTATTTTTTCATTTTTATGTGATTTTTCACTGAGATCCACCCGCATTAGTTTTTAAGCTGGCCTAAGATAATAAAGCTTTATTTATCTTGATCTGACTGCCATAAAAATGATTGTGCTGACAAGGCCTCCCCAAAGTATCATCAGGAATCAGTTACTCAGTTGTTTACGACTGTAGTCACTGATGTCTTTTTGAGCAACAATGCTCTGTATTTGTATAACCCCATTGTCTTAAATCAAGTAATTTATTTTTCTACTCTGCTCACAGTTGATAATGAATCTCTGTGTGATGCATTCAAATGCTCAGTTACCATGTTAATGGTGACCAAAAGTTGACCCAGTTTCCTCTCAGGTCTGCAGCTAACACTTCCCTCTGGGCTGCAGGCTCTGCATTACTGGGGCCAAGTCTGGGTCCAAGTTACCAACGTGACTGGTTCTAGGCAATTACCACAGCTGAAAAAGTGAAGCATTGATGCAGTGTGTTCATTGTAGTGCAAATTCTCTTTGTAAAGATGTACAGGACGTTAGGCGGTGTAAGGTCTGTCAGGCCCAGCCCAAGTACAATATGGTACAAGAGGGCAGAAAAAGCAAAAATCACAACTTTCATCTTTCAAACCAGGGTTTCCCTGAAAATCAGGGACACGATCTGTTATTACTATTTGCAACCTACTGGTTGACTTCATTCACACTTGGAGTCTGCATCCGTTACCTTTTGCAACCTACTGGTTCACTTCATTCACACTTGGAGTCTGCATCCCTGTTTTGTCTTTGGCTCTTTAATAAACTAGGTACACAGTTAACTAGCTAACAGAAAACCAAATTACTGTAGTTTGCTTGGCTGTTCAAATCATTAAAGAAATTTGCTGATAAATCCCACTGCTCCCTGCAGAATACAATGGATCTGATTTGGTAGTTTGGAACTTTTTGAAGCTACATAAGTCATGTGACTTGCTGCCTTTTTGACCTCTCTCAATGTTGTGACTCTTCTATGTGAAGGTCTGTGCTCCTAACCACTTTTTGCCCCTCCCGTCCCTTCTAGTTTCCTAGCGACAACGTGACCTGCTGATGCCTGGCTGTGACAAACTATACAAAATGCAGCCTCTAGTCTGAAGCTATTGTTGGTGAGTAAAGAATACAATTAGCAGTCCAGTAGAACATGCTGGTTACTGCTAATGCAACACAAAGCACTAATGTTACACAAAGCTTGAATTCCTGGAGTTTGAATGCTTATTTTTTCATGACAACTGTGCGGTTCTATCTGCTGTGTAATATTATCAAATGCTCCAGAGCTGCTACTCAATGAACCTTGTGCTGTGATTTCTACTATTTCCACTGTCGAAGTTTCATCTCAACACTGAAAAATGTTACTACAAAAATACTGAGCATGGGACCGAATAGAAAAGTTCATTGCCATTTGTCTTAGTTATTTTCGCTTTCGTTAAACTGAACTTTTACTGTTTCTTTATTGTGTATTACATGAATTAACTGTTTTTCTGTTGTCAGCAGCAATTTAAAATTCTTTCAAAGGTTCTATGAACACGATATTGCCCTTTTTGCAGCTCGGAGGCAGATCAGAAACTTTGCACATATTCCTTAAACCCTGGCTTGAACACTGTCAACCAATATGTTCCTGAACCAGGTGACTGGATCCCATTGCTGCTGTCTTTGTTCCTTCAGCATTGGTTTATACAGTCTGAGTGACAGGTCATCTTCATCTACTCCATGTTCACTTTGTTCTCTCCTGGGGGGTTTGTCACTTCACAGTGAGCCTCAGTCAGTCCCTGGGCAGTCCCTGTGTTCCATGGTATCTTCCATCAGCAGCATCCTTTGGGTTTTTGGTAACTGTGCTGATTACCCATCATACTATATTTATTGTTGTTTGTTTATGGGTTGCCCCGATATAAGCGAACCAGCTGTAGGCTCAGCCATTAGTCCTGTTTCTCTATTCACCTCTCCTTCCCCTGGCTCTTGAGTGCTCCCAGCTTTACCTCTTCATAGCTATCCCCTCAGGTTTCCATTACTCACTCTTTCTCTGTCCATGTCACCCTACCTATCCTGCCACTGACCATTTACGCTTCTAACATCACTGAGGGGCTTATAGTAAAGACATCAATGTACTTGCAAGCCAGACTTATCAGTCAGCTTTGACTGACTTTGTAAAGCTCTTGCTATATGACAGAACTGATGACTATGGCTTTTAAAGCTCATATTGTTTGGACTGTCGTTGAGACGTGATGTGAGGCTGGGACACGTCATTACACAGGCCATCTCGATGTAGTACATATGCTTTAAAGATCTTGGTACATGCTGTATATTTGATTTGTCATCTATGTTAAAATGTAATTTCTGATTGGCTGGATGGTTACCGGTGCTGGGTTGACAATCTTGGTGCAAATACTGTAAGTTTGAGCTACAAATTATATCTTGTGATTTAATATCACAGGCTCTCTAGCCTAGAGGCCACCAGCTCTGTGACAGAGGCATTAAATCTTTTGTGTGTGTACAAATGCCGTGGCCATGTTTATTGAGATGATCTTTCTAAATACTATGAAGGACAGTGCCATAAGAAAGATGCTTTTTC